TTTAATTTTTCTCTTTATATTGGTAGATACGTATTTTGTCAGAGAACGTTGTTAAAAATTCTCATTTCTGTTAAATAACAGCAAAACTATACAGAAAGTGGTGAACTCCTTGATCTCAAATTTTCAGCCAACCAATCGAGCATCATACAAAATTCAATTTGCACCTTCTCATTGTTTTAAGTTCTCTGATTTAAGCCGCTTTATCTAATCTGTGAACTCAAACAGCTATTATTGTTTACTTGCTTCAAATGTTCATATGTCCATATGTGAATATTCTTGAAATTGCCTTCCTTCATTCGCATGTCCAAATATATTTGCATAAGTATATGTACATATGTATGTATGTCCCTCAATATGTCTTTCGCAAAAAATCAAACATTCCCGCAAGTGACAAAAAAAATGTAGACGCCATCATCGGCCAATAATATTCAAGCGAACTCGCGGCTTATTTTCTAAGTATTTCATATTACAACGACAACAAATTCATTCATAAGGAACGTGCGTCTGCTTCAAAGCAAAGTGCGTTCGTTCATAAGTCTGAAATGAATGAAATTAAATGTCTTCAGTAAAATTGAAGAATCAGCAAATTTCAATTTTACAATTTGTATTACTGAAAATCCTACCATCCCCCTCGGATTTGTATGTTGCCCACAAGCTGCTTCCTCACAACATTTGCTAAAAATTTGAAATTGAAGAATTTGTCGTATGTTCCCTTCAGAGAGGAGAATTGGCAACATGACCTATTAGCGAGTTAAAATAATATATTAATTTTTTTCATATTATGCACTATATATGGCATTAAATTATAAAATTTATATAATATTGACATTTATATGAAATCATTAACTACTTCTATATATTCTAAGCACACTCCATATAGTACTTTTATATGTTTACTTATTATCATTGTTTCATAGTTTGTCGATTTAGCCCATTTTATCTAAAAACGACGCTATGAAAATGCACCCCAATCGGTAATCGCAGTATTTCAAAAGAGCATAAGTCAACTTTCAATAGCAAACCACTGCAAAAAGGACAAACGAGACAACATAGCCGACCGACCTTGTCGTAAAATTGTCGATTGAAACAAATTTTGTCAACTCCGCGACGATTTGGTGTCAATATGTATGCGAGCTCATATGTATGTATGTTGTGTCAACACAATGTCAAGGATGACATTAATTATTATGTTGCTTAATTTGTATTGAAAAATCCTGATGCATTAATGACTTATTTTCGTGTTAAAATAATAATATACGTAAAAATATAAATACACATAAATTCATACTTATAATCGTTTTTAAAACAAATTCGATTAAAAAAAACTATCTGAAAATTTCGTTGCAGTGCGCCCCTGACCTCCTTTCCTGCGATCGTTCAACTCGCAAAAAGCAAAAAGTGTAGGCAAAAGTCATTGTTTGTGCGGGGCAAGAAGAAGCAAGCATCAGCGTACGTGTATTTAAGTATGTATTTGTGATTATCACATTTGTGTAAATACACATAATAAGGGAATATTCAATAAACCTAAACATATGAACATATTTTTCTGAAATATTTTAATTATCTCAGGAAGTAAAATTTGCTATTAATGCAATTGAATTGAGATATGCTTAGATTCCAATTAATAAAATAAAAAATTAAATTAAATTTAAGTTTCATGAGTTTTAGGATTCGAACGTATAGGCTTGTATTCGGATTGAGCTTAACTCCTTCACGCTTACGACCTAAGCCACCACAAAAGTGTAAACACGGCCACTCCACGGTTTTATCAGAGAATGTTAATGAATAGAGGAGCAAATGTTAACTGAAATGTTTTTGTGTACTAATTTGTAATTCCAGATGAAGGAACATCGAAAAATATAACTTCGAAAAAGAAAAATACACCACACAATATGCGAAATGCTATAAATAGACACAACGAATATTAGTAAATGAAAAATCGTTGCGCATACCTATTTAGATTTATGTTTTCAATTTCTATGATATGACAAAATTTATAATTATGAAAAGCCTTTTGAATTAAAAATCTGTATTACCGGTAAAAACCCCAGAATTCATAATAAAATAAACATTTAATAGGCTATTTTTCCAACTTATGTATGTGCGTTGCGTGAGCAATTGCTTATTGAACAAAGGATAACAATAAAACGGTGGCTAAGCGGCCGCGTTTCCACTTTTGAGGTGGCGGAGGTCGTAAGCGGGAAGGGGTTAAGTGCAATCCGAATACGAGCCTATAAGTTCGAATCCTAAAACTCATGTAAATTAAATTTTATTTAATTTTTTTTATTTTATTAATTGGAATCTAAGCATATCTGAATTCAATTACTTTAATAGCATATTTTACTTCCTGAGATAATTAAAATATTTCAGAAAAATATGTTCATATGTATAGGGTTATTGAATATTTCCTTATTATGCGTATTTACACAAATGTGATAATCACACATACATTCTTAAATACACGTACGCTGATGCTTGCTTCTTCTTGCCCCACGCAAGCAATGACTTTTGTCAAAACTTTGCTTTTTGCGAGAAGCAAGTTGAACGATCGCAAGCAAGAAGGGGTCAGGGGCGCACTGCCACATAATTATTTCAGATATATTTTTATTAATCGGATTTATTTTAAAAACGATTACAGGTATGAATTTATTTGTATTTATATTTTTACGTATCTATTAATTATATTACGTCAATAAGTCATAATGCATTAGTATTTTTCAATACAAATTAAGCAACATATTAATATATTATGGGCCCTCACTTGACACGCCTCTGTGCATGGTGGCAAGCCAACGAAATAACGGTGAGTTCGCGCGGACATTGTGTTGTTGAAAAAAACCAAATGACGATTTTGTCGACAAACATACATACATATATACATATGAGCTCGCATACATATTGACGCCGAATTTTGCGCATAGTCGCGGAGTTGACAAAATTTGTTTGAATCGACAATGTCGGTCGGCTATGTTGTCTCGTTTGTCCTTTTTCGAGCGCTTTGCTATTGAAAATTGACTTATGCTCTTTTGAAATACTACGATTATCAATTGGGCTGCATTTCCATAGCGTCGTTTTTAGGTAAAATGGGCTAAATCGACAAACTATGAAACAATGATAATAAGTAAACATATAAAAGTACTATATGGAGTGTGCTTAGAATATATAGATGTAGTTAAAGATTTCATATGATAGCGAGTTTATATAAATTTTATAATTTAATACCATATATAGTGCATAATATGAAAAAAATTAAAATATTATTTTAACTCACTAATAGGTCATGTTGCCAATTCTACTTTCTGAAGATAACATCAGACAAATTCTTTAATTTCTGATGTTTAGCATCATCGTGAGGAAACAGCTAATGGGTAACATATGTATATACATATGTACAAATTCGAGGGGAATGGTAGGATCGATTGTAAAATTGAAGTTTTGCTGATTTTTTAATTTTACTGAATTTCAAATTAAATTTCATTCATTTTTATTTAAACTTTTTTCATTTCATTTTCGTGCATTTGTGGTAGGAATTCCATATGGAAACCAAATGTGTTTGACCAGGCGCAAAGAAAAAAGAGCGCAGTGCAGTTATAAACATTCGCACTTCGTTTTGTAGCATACGCGGGTTCCTTATGAATGAATTTGTTGTCGTTGTAATATGAAATACTTAGAAAATAAGGCGCGAATTTCCTTGAATATAATTGGTCGATGATGGTGCGTCTACGTTTTTTGTCACTTGCACGAATGTTTAATTTTTTGCAAAAGACATATTAAGGGACATACATGTGTACATATGTGTACTTTTTAAGAGCCAAGTTTCTTTCATTGATAGACTGAAGGATTTTAAACCATATGGAGAACATCAAAACGCACTCAAAATTACTGATGTATTTCAAATTCCATTAACGTCTCGACGAGTTTTTGCCGTAAAGTTGAGTTTTTTAACTTTTTTCAAATCGTTTATCAACCCGTGAAGCTTTTTCGCAAATGGCTTAGTGGCATCGATTCTGGCAGATCACCTTGTATTGGAAAGACAGTGAAATGAATTGGGTATTTTGGATTTTAGAATTTCCCAACGTTGTGTGCTGCTGCTAAAAATATTGAAACATTTTTGAACGACACCAAAAAAATTGATTAGTCGAGGGCAGCATTCAACAGAGTCGACAGGGCGAAAGGACTGCATACTTATTTTTAGGTTGGATGTGATTTTGCGTCCTTCACATTTACCGCTCATACTAGTACCATTATCGTAGCCCTGTCCCGGGCAATCTTCTAAAGGAATGTTGTAATTTTTCAATGTTTTGCAAATTAAAGCGGCAATAGCTTTCACGCGGTTAAATGTTCGAATTAACGACCTATTAAAAGCATTATAATTCTCAACTATTTACTTAAGTTTTTGAAAAATACGGGCCCTTTCAGGCACTCCGAGCCCGGGATTTAGATTAACTGTCGTGTGACAACTTGCAACACTATTTGTGGAGAGTTTTATTCCCATATCTTCATTGGTACTTGATTTATACATCTATTTTGTTAAAAAACAAAAAACAGATGAAATAAAAATTTGTGATTTATATGGGAAGTAGGCCCGCTTTCAATCCGATTTTGCCCATTTTTACCAAATGCACCTAACAAGCAAATTTGGTTGAAATAGGTCGTACAGATCCTGAGATACGGCATTTCATCCAAAATTGGACGATGGCACGGCCGTTGTCCAATATTTTACACCGATTCAAACGCGATAATAGTAGAAGGATAAGTTTTCAGCAAGTTTGTTGATATAGCTTTTTTTTGACATATACATTATACAATCAACGTGTACAATCAAGATATATTACTGAAATTCGGAATTTACTTTGGCCCTTCATATTGATAATTTTTATATAAACATATGTATAACTTTCAATCAATCTCGATTAGTTTTAAGTATTAAAAACAACCTTTAGGCAAACAAAACTATTATATCCTTGTGAAAGTTGCGGGAGTATAAAAAATACATCAAATAATTTAATTATATGAGCGTTTTTAATAGTTTTTATTTGATGCTCGCGATTATGTTTACAATTTAAAGACAAGAATTTGTCACCTGCTTCTCAGTTCCGATGCTACAATACAATTAATCGAACAGATTTATTAGCTTCTACATGTTATCTTAAGTTGTGTATTTTTTAATTGTGTATATCTATGCAGCTTTCTTGTTGTAATTTTTATTTTGACATCGAATCAGCAGTTTTGGTTCATTTATTACTTATTGTTGTACGTTGAAATAGCAATTTTGCTTATTTTTTACACAAAATAAAACATGATTTATATACCGATTTTTTGATATTCGTATTTCTTCGTTTCCTACACGCTTTGTATTGACTGGAAAAAACTCACATAAAAAGTGCGCTAATTTTAACTTGAAACTAAATTTTATCGAATACGTCCATACCCTTGCCATCGCTGTTCCCTACACAATATCTGTTTAATATTTTGTGTTATATTATAGTTTTTATAATTAATTGCTAATATATATTAGATAGTGTTAAAAAAATTTTTCAAAGTTAAGTTCCTTTTAAAAGTATAATTTTTACCATTATTATTCACCTGCATGATGTTCGCAAATATTAGTTTCGCTTCAATAATTATTAATTTTTTTTTGCTGCAGTCATTAGTTTTTTTTAGATTTCTATTACTGTTGCTTATATTTTTATTTTAATGTTGGGACTTACAAGATTAGGAAATCATGTTGCGTATCTGTAAAAAATTAGGTTAAATTAAATGTATAAAAAACATTTGTTGCCCGTTATTGGGCAAACCTTTTTGTCCAAAGTCGAGCGATTCTATCGTGTTCTTCACGATTCTGCAAGTATTGAGTGGCGATACTGCCCACTAAGGGGTCCGCTATAATTATATTTTCATTAGCGAATGTAAAGTAAAATTTATATTTCAACTCACCAGGATTACAGTCAGTCAGCAGGGAACAAATAGAGAGTAGAACTTTCGATATAGTCAACGCTGGTGACCAATTATCTTTGAGAATATCCAAGCATATGACACCCTGGCTATTTATATTGCAGTGATAGATACGTGTTCGAAATGTCACCTTTGGTGGTTTGAACGGATATTCCGGTGAAAAATGTATATCAAGAAAAAATACACCACCTTCGTACACTGATCCAGGCGGTCCCAATATAGTTGAAACCCATTCGTACAGATTGTCTCCTTTTGGTCCAGCACTGCAATTTGGTGGAGGATCCAGTGTAATTTCAGCCAATTCTTTCTGAATACGCTTAGCTGAGGTACCCAATGCTTTGGAAATTTTTGGATTTGGTTTTGGATCCTTACGCGCTTCTTCTCCTGTTCCAGAACCTGCAGCAGCAGATGCGACACTGTTTACAACGTTGAGATTGGCATTCGAACTACCTGCACCGGAATTTGTAGCATTGGCTCCCGCAGTATTGCTGTTTCGTCCTCGGCCACTGCTGGCGTGTATGCTATTGCTAGCGTTGGGAGAGGTAGCGGCGGTTGTCGTGGAGCTCCCAGTGCCTGCACCACTACTGCCACCTGCCGCTGATGTTGAGGACATGATGGAATCGTTAATTAAGGTTTCTTATTAATTTGGTATTTTTTACACAATATATTAATTACTGATGAATAACTAAGATCAAATCAGCGGCGCAAAGCGAGTGACCTAAAAATAAAAGAATTTACAAATATAATATACATACTAAGCGTGAAAAGTCGCAAGTACTACTTCTAGGGTATTAGGTCCTCACCATCAACATAACAAGTTGATGGGTACGAGTAACAGCAAAGGTAGAGTAAGCGGCCATTTTGGGAATTTTATTATGAAACGAAAAAAAGCAGCATACTACAATGCGTGGAACGATGACAAATAACTGTTGTAAATAAATCATGATTCGGACGATTGCCAAAATAAAAAGTTACGATAAAAGAAAATGAAAGTATCTTGCATTAATTGCATTGCAAAAGATTCAATAGAGTGAAAATTTCTTCCCAATCCAATTTGCTAACTAAAATATTTGACATTTATTAACAATTTGATCAACCCGGAAGCAATTTATCTTGAATATATTTCACTCATCACAACTTTGCACAGGCATACACTTGTTACGAATGAATTCTTTATTACACAGCCTCTAGTAAATTTTTTTTTTATATTTGTTACAAAGTACTTGCCTTAATAAAGAATCACTGGTCTCGCGACCGTTGTTCTCCAAAATATTTCTTATTTTATATAACTTTTTTGTGATTTAAATCCTTTATTATACTTTTTTTCAGATTTATTTATAAAATTTAAAAAAGTTCCTCTATTCCTCCAAGAAACGAAAATCAGACAGATACCCCAAGAGTCAACTATTTGATTTTTTTCTGTATTTTTGACTCTCCGCTTATTCTCTCGCGTTTCTGCTTCTCTTCGCTTTTCCTTCCTTCTATTGTTTGAAGTAATAGGTATTAACGTTGATGCTGCTAATTTTTGCAACTCCACAAAGGACTAGGCGTACAAAAGTGCAAGGGAAATAGTCATAGTGTTACATAGTATACCGGCAAATGCTACTTTGTTCGTTTCGCCGATGTGTCTATTGACAATTCTATGGCGCGTTGCCAATTGCTTGATTAACTGAGCATTGCCAATTTGAAGAAAAGCTGCATATCGTTTGTAAAACAGTAAAAAAATGACGACGATGATAGTGTAATTTTAAAATTTTTCATGATGAATCCAACTAAAGTGCTGGGTATGGTCTAACACAACCACATTATCTGCAACACTTATTAACTGTCAACATGGAACCCTTTTGTTATTGTGAATATAACGAAAATTGTGTAAAAATAAAATGCTCATTTAAAGCAAATATTAAAATTATTAATATAAAAAAAATATGTAGAAACATTGTAGTGAAGTGTAAGTGTATAATAAGTGCATAATATAAACGAAAAATTAACTATAAATCTAGAAATTGTAAGATAAAATTTGCAAATATCTCGAAAACTATAAGTTTCCGGCGGCTATAATTATATATATTCTGGAGAATCTTCTCTATCCAACCATACCCCTTTTAATTCTAAAATCGTGGCATGGTATACTAAAGCCGACCCAAAAACATACCTGAAATAATTTTGAAGAATGCTCCCCAGTTGACAGTCCTTGGCCGAATAAAAATTCGGGTTCGTTCCGGGTTACGTAGACCCGACTGTCGTGGAAACGGATTTGAATCTACTGTTAAAAAATAAAGGAAGAATAAAAATGAAGGAGTTAGCTTAATATAGCGGAAATTAAACTAACAAACTAAACTGAAGTAAGTAAAAGTGATATTATACTTATAATGAAGTTAGTTAGCAGATCCTTATTTATATAAATGTTTGCAAAAAATTGGAAAAATCATTTTTATTGAGTAAATTTGGATTTGCTACAAAGTTCAATAGAAGAATTCGATCCGCTATAGAAAAGCTATACAACCATCGGGTTACAATTGGAATATTTGAAAACTTACTTACATTTTTCCGCATGGATGACCCTAGTGTAGATCTCAGATTTTTCTAGTTTCAGGCTACAATACCACTATAGTGTCTTTCAAGTGGATGTGGCTGACATCAAGGTAATAGCAGAAGTACTGTTCCGAAGTGCAGCTTTCTTCAGAGCGGCTATACTGGATTTGAGCTCACTGACTGTGAGCTCCAAACTAGTCAAGGAGGGCATGACCTCATGAGCAATACCATTAAGCTTCTTCCCTATAAAACTTGTATGGATGCCCTGCCACAGCGGAATCGCCATCATCCTATTGGATATATATAATATATATACGAATTAATTTAATATACAAAAGAACGTTAAACAATCTTCAAATCAATAAATAGGTTGAAAATTTCAGAAGTTTGAACTTAAATTTTGCAGAAAAGTGTTTTGTAAAGAGCAGTTTAATGAGTATCATAATTAGCAAACAGAAGTATTTTCTATAAATTTTGCGAATATTCATATATATCAACCAAGATAAAAATTTAAACGTCGCAATTGCGTTGGTTTCAAATTTCAAATTAAAAATTTGTGACAGCAAAACGTAAAATTTGTTTACGCCATAGGAAATGTTTTTACCCCTATTCAGCACAGAAAAAAAGGGGTGGGCTGTAGTTTAGCATCCCACGATTTCAGGGTTAAGAGGGGTATGGTTGGATAGAGGAGATTCTCCAGATCACAAATATATATAATTATTGCCGCCGGAAACTTATAGTTTTCGAGATATTTGCATTTTAAGTTGAAAATTTCACAAATTTTATTTCAAAATTTCTTGATTTATGGTCAAATTTTCTTTTATATTATGCACTTATTATACACTAACACTTCACTACAATGTTTCTACATATTTATTTTATGTTAATTATTTAAATATTTGCTTTAAATAAGTATTTTTTTTTACACAATTTTGGTTATATGCACAATAACAAATGGGTTCCATGTTGTCAGATAATAAGTGTTGCCAAATCTATTATATATATATATATATATATATATTTATATTTTGAAAACGAATAAAAATGAATAATAAAATAGGATTATACCCCCAATACATGAACTATAATTTTGTTAATTCTCTTCTATTGATATATTGTGGTATTGGACCGACCAGGGTTATTTTTCTGAAGCGCGGCCGAAGGCCGCCAGTGCGGAAAATAGTTTGACGCGATTGAATTATGAACACCAAGGTGTTGGACCGACCAAGGTTATTTTTTTGAAGCGCGGCTGAAGGCCGCCATTGCGGAAAGAAGTTTGACGCGATTGAATTATGAACACCCCGGTTTTGGACCGACCAGGGTTATTTTTTTGAAGCTATTGCGGAAAGAAGTTTGAAAATCTCTACCGCCAGTGGAAACAGGAAATCTAAAAAAAAACATTAATGTTAAAGAGGGTATATCACTCTTTTTAAACTTCAATTTCTATAACGGAATTTTCTACAACTTAACAAGGTACCGTTTCGTTTTTTGTCCGTTTTCTCATTATTTTCATATTCAAATTGAATTGGTGAATATTGTGCATATAAATCATTCCGCAAGTGTTTATAATTTTTACATATTTATTTAAATCGTGATAATTTTTGAGAAAATGAGTGCAAATACATCAGGTATGTTATTAAAAATTTAAAATTATAACAAATATTACTTAAGAATTTTAAATAGATTGTAACGACCCGCAACCAGCCGTGGTGTGGTAAAAAAAACCAATGTTCTCACAGTGTCCGAAATCAAGGATATGTGGAATTTCCCTAAAATAATCCAAAATTTAAAAAAAAAAAAATAATAATAAAATTCCAAAAAGCAAATTATGCCGTACCCATAGGATACCTGTGTTGGTATCCTTATCTGATAGGAGCACGGTTGGCGTATTCCGATGCCGGAAGGGTGCCTGCCGTAAACGGACTGCGGTGTCGAGGTCGAGTGGGACATGTGTTTTGAAAACGCAAAAATACCACTGCCTCAAATTTTTTATATAATGTATGCATTTGCATCGCACTGGACCCATTCGCAGGTTCGAAAGAACAGTTTTATTAAGGAGCCAATTTTATCCAGCGCTACCATATGTGACTGGTACAATTACTAGTTTTATACCAGGTTAATCACCAGGTAGCGCTAGGTAAAATTGGCGGCCCTGGTAAAATTGTTCAAATAGACGAGAGCAAATTCGGGAAACGAAAATATAACAAAGGTAATAATAAATACATTATTATTTATTTTTCATACTTAATTATTTAATTTTTTCTTTTTTAGGACGGAGAGTGGAAGGTCACTGGGTTCTAGGGATGGTAGAGGATGGGAGTGACGCCCTTCGGCTGGAAGTGTGTCCCGAAAATGTGAGGTCTGCTGAAGTGCTCATACCCTTAATTCAGAGACACGTTTTACAAGGTAGCATCATATGTACTGATTGTTGGAAGGCGTACGACTGCCTGTCCAGTCACGGACAATCCGTTTGTTGCCGAAGATGGAACACACACGCAGAGAATTGAGTCCCAGTGGCGCGTTATCAAACGGTTTTTTATAAAAGACAATTATAATAACAGTGAAGATTTTTCGAATTTGATTTATGAATACGTATGGCGTAAAAATGTTGCATATCAGCATCACGATCCATTCGTGAAACTACTAGATGCAATAAAACATATCTTTAAGCCAAAAAACCAATTTTTTTTTATTAAAATGGAAAGTTTAGTTCATAATATTTGTAGAGGGTAATTGGGTTTTTTATTTATTTTGATTTCTGTCATTTGTTTGGATATGGCAACACTTATTATCTGACAACATGGAACCCATTTGTTATTGTGCATATAACCAATATTGTGTAAAAATAAAATGCTTATTTAAAGCAAATATTTAAATAATTAACATAAAATAAATATGTAGAAACATTGTAGTGAAGTGTTAATGTATAATAAGTGCATAATATAAAAGAAAAGTTAACCATAGGTAGTAAGTTTCAAGTTCTACATACTGTGACGAATATAGATGATAGAACAAAATCATTGTATAAATCTTATACAATGAACAAAATCGAATGAACGATAAACTGCCAGAAGCAACTAGTTAGCGAATTCGTAGTTGCCAGAATGTTCTAGAAGCAATGTTTTGCTACAGATTTACTATGGCTGCCGGACTGTGCAGCAAACACAGTTCTAGTTAGAGTGTTGTTGTGATAAGAGCAATCAAGCTATAAGCAAGAAGTTGTAAGCTCGAATAACGAGCAATAAGTGTTAAGTTGTTGGAATTAGAAATAAAGATAAGTGTGTAGCCATTAAATTGGGACTTTTATTTAACAATCCAGTGATCGAGCTCAAGAGTGAGTTACAGGTAGACGATTTATCGAGAAATCCGTTACAATTGGTGTCAGAAGTGGGATTGTCAAATAAATTCCCAAAGAGAGAATTATTTGAAAATGGCCAAGTTTAACGAACTGAACATTCCACAATTGAAAAAGGAGCTGCAAAAACGTGGCTTGGCAACAAAGGGAGTAAAGTCCAAATTACAGTCGCGGTTAAGAAGAGCCATGGAAGCAAAGAACATTAATGTTGAGGAATATGTCTTTCAATCGGAATTAGAGGAAGAGACAACAAAGAAACAAGAGAAGGAAGTGACTCAATATTCAGTAGAGGTTATTTATACTGCGTTGGAATCCTTCTTTGAGAGTTTTTCAGCACAGTTGTCAGCATCGAAAGAGCTCGACGTGCATATGTCAGCGCAGGTATCCTCACAGTCGGAAGAGGAGGAAGCGTGTGAACCGGGGTCTTCACAGTATGAAGAGCAAGAAGCTTGTATACCAGCACAAGTGTCCTCGCAGTCGAAAGAACTGAGCGGGCACATGTCAGCGCGGATGTCCTCACAGTCGGAAGAGGAGGAAGCGTGTGTACCAGTACAAGGGTCCTCACAGTCGAAAGAGCTGGAACTGCGTATGTCAGGGCAGGTGTTCTCACAGTTGAAAGAGGAGGAAGCGTATGAACCAGTAAAAGGTTCCTCACAGTTAGAAGAGCAAGCAGCTTGGATACCAGCACAAGTGTCCTTACAGTTGGAAGAGCAGGAAGCGTGTATACCATCACATGTGGAAGATCAGCTTAAAATTGAACCTGAAACGGATGACTCTGTGCAAGAAGATCCAGAATTGGAAGGTGCTTTACCTAAGGTGGAGTTGAACCAATGTACAACGATTGGAGAAATAACTACAGGAAGGCCAGTCACAAAATCATATTGGGCAGAACGGAGCAGTTTAAAGTTAGTGTATGGCTGCTTGCATCGAGTATCCAAAAGCAAAAATAAGCAACCCTTCCGAGTACTTATGGTTGTTCCAAGGGTTGGAATTTCTGATGTTCTTAACGTGCAGTACAAATGTCCAAGAGGAGGGCACTTGAGAGACATGAAATCCTTGGAGCATTTGAAGCAAAGGTTTTATTGGACTGGTTGTCAATCAGCTATAGAAAGGATTGCGAAATATGCTGAGAACATTGTAGCTAAAGGATCAAGGTCCAGGAGTCATGGGCAGATGAAACAGCACAATTCGGGTGCGCCAGTTGAGAAAATAGGCATGTATGAAGATGGTCCATTCCCCACCAATAAATTAGGAAATAGTCCTGTTTTGATAGTCAAGGACCATTTCAATGAATGGCCACAAGTATACACAATTCCTAACCAAGAGACTGAACCAGTGGCGGAGGCATTCATCAACAAGTGGGTAACGAGATTCGGTGTTCCAATGGAGTTACGTTCTGATCAAGAATGGAATCTCGAGTCAGCTTTAAGTCAAGGGATGTACCAGAAACTGAGTATCCGGAAACGGATGGAATTAACTCCAAGCAGAGAAGGACGGCTAACGATGTCAGCACCAGCCTAGAAGACGAGATGGGGGACATAAAAGCTTTGTGTTTGGTATCGCAAATATGTCTAATCGGGACGATCACACTTAGGTGGAGGGCAGTGTGACGAATATAGATGATAGAACCAAATCGAATGAACGATAAACTGCCAGAAGCAACTAGTTACCAAATTCGTAGTTGCCAGAATGTTCTAGAAGCAATGTTTTGTTACAGATTTACTATATAAGGGCTGCCGGATTGTGCAGCAAACACAGTTCTAGTTAGAGTGTTGTGATAAGAGCAATCAAGCTATAAGCAAGAAGTTGTAAGCTCGAATAACGAGCAATAAGTGTTAAGTTGTTGGAATTAGAAATAAAGATAAGTGTGTAGCCATTAAATTGGGACTTTTATTTAACAATCCAGTGATCGAACTCAAGAGTGAGTTACAGGTAGACGATTTATCGAGAAATCCGTTACAATACCATTATAATATCATAACAAACCGTGTGATAGGAAGTCATACAAATATATACTTATTTATTTC